AACAACCATGTCTGAAGGTATCTAAATATGATAATCATACCCATACTTTTGCTGACTTTAGTGTAAGGTTTTTATCTTGTTCAATCTAATGGATAGAAAATGGCAGTAGGTTTTGCTCACTTAACATTTGTGTCTCTTGACCTGCCTATTCATACTACTTGCCCTTGCCCATTTTTCTACAGGTTAGTCATTTGTGAGACTCTAGAATGGAGGGGATAATGAAAATATTTCAACTCGTACAATGAAAATAAGAAGAGCAGATCTGTAAGAAAGTTCATTTTTTATAGTCTGAATTTGAAGTTGAGGTTTCTGAGAGCAGTGTAATTTAGTTTTACATGTGTTCCGCCTTTAGCTATATTGGGTGAAATTAAGACCAGAAGCCAAGTTAGTGGAACTAATAAAGAGACAGGTCTAGGCCAAAATTTATTGATTTAGTAAATACTGAACAAATATGAATCAGCTGCTGGGCTTGGTTCCTTAGATTGGTAGGTGAGACTGACAATTGTTGCTTTCAGTGGAACTTAGTTTATTTTGGAAGCACTAGATTAAATGAAAACAATTAATGGTTCTCCATAGGAAAAAGATGCTGTGAGAACATAACAGGGTGGCCTTACCTATGTGTACTGGGTGGACAGAGAATTCCAGAGGAACACATTTAATTGAGGTCTAAGGGGTGGGTAGGAGTTGGGAAGGTTGGAGAGGTAGTAGTAATATCGGGCATGAGGAGAGAGCAGGGTTGAGGATGAAGACACACATTTTTGGGCTTTTGGTTCATATTAATGATTTTAAATGTTCAGATCTGGAAAACAATAGAAGACCTTTGAAGGATTTTAAGAGATAGTCTTCCAAAAGTCTGAAGCATCCTGGCAGTGGTATAGGAATACACCAGTTCTATCCATTTTTCACCTACCTCAGCTATTAAAAAGCAGCCGTCTGTGTTTGAACCCTTGTCCTGTCTGGGACAGGTAGAATCCACTTGAGAATTACCTGTTGATTATGAACTTAGTCTGATTAAAAATATTACTAAGTTAAACAGCTACCTATGTGTCCATATGAACATGTCTTCCAGCCTGTAGTCGTTTAGTTGACTAGGTTAATAAAAGAGGCTGCCCAACAGTTGTTAATAAATCTTTAATAGATGTTTTTTTCATAAAAATGGTTTTTCTGATTTCCTCCTGTAAGACTTACAGTAATATTCACTGTGTGTATGTGCATGTATATGTATTTGTTTATTCTATTTTTTGCTACTTTTTTCCATGTAGAAGGCTTCCCCAAAAAAGAGGGTTCTTATGTTTATAGATAACACAATAAAATTTTAGTAATTGGTTAATATTTATCAGCATTGTCATCTACTTTGGTTTCAAATTTCAGTCTCCATAAAAACATGGGTGATTAAATTAGATTACAATATTCTGCATATCAAAATGAGCCAACATATGGCCTGTACAGTGTTAAGAAAATAAGTAATGATCTTATGAGCTTCTGATTATGAATAAGTAAAACTAGATCATGAACTGATAATGAGTTAGTGAAACTGGATGGCATTTCTGTAATCCTTTGGTGGGCTAAATCTGTTCATACCGTTATCCAAGCCCAGACTCTTCTTTTTGAAACCTTGTAGTGGACCTTTTTTTTAACTTGAATTCTCAGTGAATTGTTATGTAACTTTTTTTTAACTCGTGTGATGAACTGAACTTGTATTGCCATTATGCTCAACTTTTTAGGTATGTATTGCCGTTATGCTCAGTTTTTTAGGTGATACATTCTCATAAATTAGCCAGCCAGCCAGATTTTATTAGTATTTGTTTGTTGTGATGTACTTGCTAAATACAAGGTCTCAGACACGGTAATATATTTAGTGTCCACAGGATCTTAAAATTTAGTTGAGAGAGGTGAGATAAGACAGTTCCTCAAAGTATAGGTGTTGTCTTGTCTTTATTTGGCTTGTACTTTATTGGTACAAATAAATATAGCAGTATTACACAAGTACAGATACACTGGGATATATAATAGTATATTTATGATTGCTTCCAGTGTTGATGTGATGTATTAGCGGAAAGAAGGAATAAAGAAAAAAAGAGAACTAACATTTTTAGTGATGTGACCTATCACCTGTCAGTTTGTATAGAGCTTGCAAACTCCTTGATTGGACAGGAAAGGTTATTTTTGGTCTGCTCAGCATGGTCCCTGGCACATAGCAAATATTAAATAAACATTGGTTAAATTGAATAGGAAATTTGGAAAATAGGTGTCTTTATAAGGAACCCTATGAACAGTAGAAACATAGGAATTGTCTAGGTCAGACCCATTTTTTAGCCTTATATTCTGTTGCTAACAGTTATTTCTTTTTCTTCAAGGAATTACAAAATAGCTTTTTTACCTTTTTTGTTAATTTTGTATATTTTAATAACAATTCATGGCTCTTATTTTAAAAATTATCAAAATTCATTTGAAAATCATTTTTCTGATTTTCTTCTGGAATTGCTTGTTGTAATTTGTTCCCTTAGTTTATTATTTGCTCTATGTGCAGGTGCAGATTTTAAATGAAAGTAAATTTTCCCTGAAAATTTGAAGTAGCATATAAGTTATGTCAGTTTCTGGGTATTTTTCATATTTTAGTCTGGGTTCCACAAGGAAAAAAGTGAAAATAATGTCCTGGTATTTATTTAGACTCACACTGAATTTGTCCTTTAGAATTATTGTGAAGCATGTTTGGAAGTCTTGTAAATTTTTACTTTATTTTACATTGTAGAAACCAGTCTGAATTGTTTTTTTTGAGATTAGTAACGCAGGAATTTAAAAAACATTTAAAATATATACTTTAAAATTTTTGTGGTAAGATAACATAAAATGTTCTATTTTATCCATTTTTAAGTGTACAGTTTGTGGTATTATGTTCATTCACACTGTTACGCAGCTACCATCACCATCCATCTCCAGAACTCTTTTCATCTTACAAAACTGGATCTCTGTGTCCTTTAAACAATAACTGTCCATATCTCCCTTTGCCCAGCCCCTGGCAACCCTTAATTCTACTTTGTGTCTGTGACTTTGACTATTCTAGGTATCTCATGTCTTTTTGTGACTGACTTGTTTTACTTAGCATAATGTCCTCTAGATTCATCCATGTTGCAGCATGTGTCAATGTCCTTTCTTTTTAAGACTGAATAATGTTTCATTTTAATGTATATACCATGTTATGTTTATCCATTCATGTGTCATTGGATACTTGGGTTGCTTCCACCTTTTTGCATTTGCAAACAGTTCTGCTAACACTCTAAAATATTTTGATTGAGTTGCTATGTAATCTTCTCAAAAGGTAACATCCTCTCATTTATGACAGGCATTGTCTAGTTGTTAAGAAGGAACGCTCTGGAGTTGGACATTTTTGGGTTCAAATTCTGGCTTATCCTTTCCTATTTCACTGTGGGCAAATAACCTTTTCGCTGTCTATTTGTTCAGCTACCAAATGCAGATAATAATGGTGCCTTGCCTTATTTGGATTATATTGGGTAATATATGTTAAGTGCTTAAAATAGTGTGTAACACATAGTACAAGTTTGATAAATGTTATCATTATTTAGGAAAGGAATCCATTGATTGGTTCCGGTATTGCAGATAATCTCCTAACTAGGTAAATAGTAAAAACTCATTTGATCTGAGAAGGCAAATAGTTGGATTAAATAATACCAGCCTTTTCTTTGGATGGGGTTTTCTTTGGACAGGAGTAGGTAAAAAAAAAAAAAGATTGAATATTGGGGGAAATTATCATTATTATATTATATTCATGGTTAAGTCCTGGTATCTTAATCAGTTATATTCTATATGATTTAACCAGACAAGAATCAGAAGTTAGTCTCCTGTTATTGCCATCTCTTCTTTTTGTTTATTTTATGTTAGTGATTTTCAAAAGCATGAAAAATGGTGGGCAACTACAGACAGGGGAAACTAAGTTATGCAGTGGATGGCATAGGTTTGTAAAGTCTGATCATTTGTGATTCAGTATTTTGTAGTTTCTTGTGAGAAGGTTGGGTTGGTAGTTTTACCTAAAGATGTGTAAAACTATTATGAAATGTATAAAAGATTATGCTCAACCAACTAAATTTTCGTTTCGTTTATGAATTTTGAGTCATATTCAGTACTACTGTGCCACTTAGCATTGTAACCAGTAAAAATGTGTTCTGGCCCACACTTGTTGAAATCTTGTCTCCTCTTTTAGAAGGATGACTAAGCCCACAGAATAAAATGAGTAGGGGCATATTTTTGTCAAGATGAATTCATTTATTTAAGGTCATGTAATACAAAGGGGAAAAATGATCTAAACTTAACCCATCTGGTCTCCCTAACATTTACTCTTCTAGCTTGGGAAATATTTACTTCATAAACAAAAAATATGTAATTGATTGAAGTGATGTTTCTTTCAACCTATTTTACATTTTGTTTCACAGTAACTTAATGGTCAATTTAAAAATCAACATGGGCATTAAAATAATCATAAATTCAATTTCAGATTTAGGTTGTCGGCTTAATAATGTGACCATTCATCATCTTATTTTAAGTAAGTTGTATTTCATGTAGTGTTTAATAGTTGTAATGAAATTTAGCACAGGAAAGAGTCACAGAGATGCATTTTACAGACAAGAGATTCCACTGTATAAAACTGTTAGTTTGGTAATAGTGATAAGGCTAGCAATCCAAGGGTTAGTAGTATGAGCAACTAAGTAAAACTGCAAGGAAACAGAGATACATCATTGACTACCTCTGCCTCTTGAGTTCTCTTTTTTTTCTACACATCCATCTCCAGGAACCATAGAGTAGGTATTCTAGTGAGTTAAAGAATAGTGAGTTGGTAAGTTTGTAGTAGAATTAGTAGCTAGAGTTGAACATAATATTTAAAGGTTAGTAGGATTGTTGTAGCTCTTGGTGTTTAATTCAAGTATTGAGAAAGTTTGTCCGAGTAGGATATTTTAAGTAGATTTTTAAATTTTTTTATTTTTCAGCCAAACCAAACAGGAAACTTACTTTTCTCTACCTAGCCAATGATGTCATTCAGAACAGCAAAAGGAAGGGGCCGGAGTTTACAAAAGATTTTGCACCAGTTATAGTGGAGGCTTTTAAGCATGTTTCAAGGTATGATCATTGTTTTGGGTAGTAGGTAATTTGTCTTAAATGCATAATATGTGCTTTGCTAAAATTTGTCTTAGGTGATCAAAATAAGAAACAGGGAATGTGTTTCTTTGAAGTTTTCATTTGAAAAGATTTAACCTATAAATGGCATTTGTAAATGTGTTAAATATTCTCTGTGAAGGAAAATTTTTGGACCAGTAAGATGAACATTTGGAGTACTTGAATACAGCTTTACTTTAAAAGACCAAAAGCAACTGCTATGTTGGTATGAACTTCATTAAGAATGAAAGTATTAAATTGAAAATTTGTGTACTTACTAAGCTATCAATCTTACAACTAATATATCTGGATAAACTTAGTTATCCTTTCCTTTCATATTACATATTCCTTTCATAAGGTTTTCTAGTATGTGGGTATATGTCATAACATTTTTAAATGTTTTGGAAATTATTTAAAATAATCATAAACTGAAAAGTTTTGCTGCAGAAAAATTCTGATGGTAGAAGTTTGTACTTTGGCTGAAGTCCTTTTAAAATGCTTATAATAGAAATATTCTATGCAAATATTCAGTAGATTACTGGGTAAACACTGGGGTAGACTATTAAAACAATCTAAATTACAGAATTTAGTCGTAATGATGATCAGTGATGAAGTGTTAAGTGATTTAGAGATGAAAATAGACTCGCCACGTGCGCTGCAGTTTTAGTTACAGTGGATAAACATTTAAAAAAATTATAGAGTGTGAAATACTGCTGTATGTTGCTTTCTTAATGCTTTTCCTTCATTTTTTAAACTATCTTTTCAGATGTTGGTGTTTCTTAGGGTTTTGTCCTAGGCGTTCTTCTGGGGTCATGTTCTTTACTTGCTCCCTGGGTGATTTTATACACTGCTTGTATTCAGTTATTATCCGTACCCTAATAACCCTCAGTCTTACACTCCAGTCCAGAATAAAGAATTTTTTCTTTATTTTGGACCCATATGACCAGTTATTGCCTATTGAATTTCTAGTTTTATGCTTCTAAACATCTCAAACTCACTGTGTCTGATACAAACTTGTATGTCCTTGTTCCTTGTCAGAATGGCTTTTCTGGATTTCAGTCTCAGTGAATGGCAAGTCCATGTATCCATACGCCTATTCAAGAAATTAGATGTTATCTTTAACTTTGTGTGATACGTGATTTTGAATATATCACACTCACTCTTTTACTCATGTTATCCCATATTGTACATGTAGTTCCCTTAGTTGTTTAGGTTTCTTTCTGTTCCTGTTAGCATAATGTCATCTCTGTATAATTTCAGTACCCTCCAATATAATTTAATCCATTTAGGAAACAGTAGCCAGAGTTGTATAGCTGATCAAAACACTCCGTTGCCTTTAAATGGTTCTCATTTGTTGTAGAGATCAAATCTAAATCCTGAGCAAGACTTAGGATGTTCCTTCATGGTCCTGTCTACTCCTTCAGACTCCTGTCTCATATGTGTTACCACACACACACACACACACACACACACACACACACTACTCAGGATTCAATAAAATATTTATTGATTGCCTACTATGTGCTGGGCCCTGAGGATACAGTAAGTGAGTAAGACAAAGTTCTAGTGGAACTACATTTCAGTTGATGAAAAAGGTAATAACTAGATAGACAAGTGAATATATATTACATATATTATTATGTAAAAATGTAAGTGCTGTGATAGATAAGATATGTAAGTGAGATATATATATATATATGTTATGATGTCAAAAGATAAGTACTATGAAGAAATAGAAGAACTAGAGTATGATAGTGCTCAATTATATCATGAGAATGAGATAAAGAATGACTATTTTGGGAGGTGTCATTTGAACAGAGGCTAAAGGAAAGGATGAAATGAACCATTTGATTATCTAGTAGGAAAGGAGTCCAGGTAAAGAGAATACTTGGCAGAAACAATGAGACAGCTGTGTATTGGATATGTTAGAGATCAGCAAGAAGATTTGTAAGGAAGAAGGTACTCAGGGAATGTGGACTGAGAGGTAGCCAGGAAGCAGAACATGTCTACCTTGTGGCCCAGCATAAGGATTTTGTTTTATTTTTAGTAATGATTTGTATTAATAGAGACTAGAGTGAAATAGTAGAGTGTAGGAAACCAGTGAGAAGACTGTTACAGAAATCCAGGCAAGAGGTAATAGTGGCTCAGTCTACAATGGTAGTGATAAACGTGGTGGGAAGTGTTGGGAGTAGTCTGCCACTTCCCTGTATATCCAGTCTTCAGACTTCAAATTAAATACCACTTCTTCAAATTTCCAATCTCTCTTGAACTGGGCCAGATCTCTTTTTTTAATTTTATTAAGGTAATTTTATTAAGGTTTTACATGATCAACATTCTAATTACTACATTCACTCATATTATCAAGTGCCCCCCACACCCTATTGCAGTCACTGTCCATCAGCATAGTTAAGATGCCGCAGTCACTACTTGTCTTCTTTCTGTTACACTGTCTTCTCTGTGACCCACCCCCCTACCACCCACACCATGTGCACCAATCATAATACCCTTCAATCCCCTTCTCCCTCCCTCCCCAACCACCCTCCTACACCCCTCCCCTTTGGGAACCGCTAGTCCCTCTTGGAGTCTGAGTCTGCTGCTGTTTTGTTCCTTCAGTTTTGCTTCATTATTTTACTCCACAAATGAGTGAAATCATTTGGTATTTGTCTTTCTCTGCCTAGCTTATTTCACTGAGCATAATACCCTCTAGCTCCATCCATGTTGTTGCAAGTGGTAGGATATGTTTTCCTCTTATAGGGCCAGATCTCTCTTATGCCTGTCTGTAGTACTCATCTTGTTCTCTTTTGTGGCACTTAAAAAACAGTTGCCATTTTTATCTCCAGTGTGAAAGATAGGGCCTTGATCAATAAATACTTGGTAGCTTCATCAGCTCCTTTAGGGTTAGGGCATCTACTTTGTATACCAGTTGGTCCTAGCACTTGTACATTTTTGTTTGTTTGTAATTTTATGTTTAATAATATGTCTAAACTCTTTAAGGGAAGCAGTCTCTCTGTCTTGATCACTTCACCCCTGAACTGCTAGTCACATACTGATGCTCAATAAACATTTGGACGGCTTTTTTTCAGTGTCTGATATACTTAAAATTACCATTGGTTTTTCAATAGTGCCATATATTTTTACTGTTAACATTTTTATTTTTTCTTTAGTGAAACTGATGAAAGTTGTAAGAAACACCTTGGAAGAGTGTTATCTATTTGGGAAGAAAGGTCTGTTTATGAAAATGATGTATTAGAACAACTTAAGCAAGCTCTGTGTAAGTGTATACTCTTTATCATGATACCTTCATTAAAATATATTCTTTCATTAAAACTTAAATGCTTTTTAAATTCAGATGGTGATAAGAAGCCTAGGAAGCGAACTTATGAACAGATAAAGGTAGATGAAAATGAAAACTGTTCCTCTCTGGGATCTCCAAGTGAACCACCACAGGTAGAAATTTTCCTCTGTTAATGCAGTTACATTACTGTTACTTCACATGGCCACCAAACTTTATTAATATCAATGTTTAACTTCTGTAAATTGATTTTTTTAAAAATGTTTCTGGATAGAGGAAAGAGGCTATGTGACTGTCTCATTTTCTGACTAACAAATAGCTTATGTTTAATGTAGTATGTTGTGTATTGTACACTATGCAGTCATTTTGCATAGAAGGAAGATTTCTGATTGTTAAGTATGATTAGGTCTGGTGAGATACTTATTTAAACAGATTCCTTTTAAATAAATAAAACATTATAATATAAGACTGTTTTGTTGTGTGATTTAAGTACACTACAAATTATATTCATAGAGGTGAACACTGCCCTTTTAAGTATTTTTGCCTTTAAACATGTAAAAATGAGTGTTAAAGTAACAAGGATGTATTCATATAGTTCTGTGTAAGTATATAGAACCATGTAGTACCATAGTAAAATAAAATGGATTAGAATCATTATTTTAATACCTTTGTCCTCCCAGGTTGGTACCCTATAGCATACCTTAACCATCAGATGATTCCAGAAAGACATTTTTAACTTTTATTTATGTGGGCATTCAGTCTTAAAGCTTCCTCCTTCTATGTTTCAAACATATAGGAGGGCCAGATAAAATTTAAAAGGAGAAAATGAAGACATAGCCATACTCATAAAGCAAGGTAAATATCTTTGCGGGCTAGAAATGATACAGAAACACAACTTAGTATGTGAGCCCAAGCCTAGTTCCTGCTGAGCAGATGATGTGTTGCTAGAAATTAGTATCTTACAGGGTAAGAACTCAGTGCTCCATGAGAGATGGAGGACTGGACCTGAACTTCTACATGAAACCAAAGAGTGGGTGTAGCTCTTTCCTCCATGAATGGAGCTTGAAAGCGAGATATAATCAATTCCTGCCTAGAATTTTGAATTTATATCAATGTTAGTACTGACCATCGTACGCAGCTAGGACCTGAGCCAAGCTACCTGTTGGCTTAATGACAGGCTTGCTGAAACCTACATGGTCACTGTGGGTAGATCTTGAATAGGAAAGTGATAAGAACATAATATTTGGAACAACTTAACATTAAGGTTTATAATTCTTTCTATTTGATGATAATTCATGACAGAGCATCACTTTGTGCCAAGAGCCTCATATTTTACTTGAGTTTTAGATAATAGGGTTTGACCCTTTCCTACTGTCTTTGATGAAATAGCAACCTCAGCTGTACTTCCTAGGAGTATCTGTCTAATTTTAGTCTACTACTTACATAAAAATGCTATTGCTTTTCATTTTATAATGACCATTTTCAGGTTAGTTTTACTGCTTAATTCTCAATGGTTCAACATTGTAGTCACTGCTTAATTTATGTAATTCCTTAGAAGAATGGCTAAAATTTCTGTTTGTAGGATCCAGTTGAACTCATTTCATTTTCCTCTGTTAGGAATTCCTAAGCCAGTGTTGTTTCAGATAATTTGCTTTCTTATCTGACCCTTTATTACAGCCCTGGGAACTCAGAATTAATGCATGTAGGAGTGTGAAGGTGGGATGAGAATAGGTTATAGTTAAGGCATGCATGCATTGTCAAGATCATAAAGCCAGGGTTCTTCTTAGAACTCCAGAAAATTTTAGGACTTTCTAAGACTGGTTAAAAAATAATATACAAGTTAATAAGAGCACCATGAAAAATAAGCTTCCGGTAATTGTAATTGCTCTTAAGGTCACTTTTATTATAGGGGGATATATCTTATAATGAAATTATTTTTTAAATACTGGGATTTTTAAACAGAGTAATGAATTAAAAGCCTACTTGGAAATAGTACATTTATTAGGTTCCGTTCAGTTTTATCATGTTTAATCATTTGCTATGTGCTATATCCCAGTGACAGCATTTTTATGAGGGCATAGCTTAAAGAAAAATGAGTAATGGCTGTCAGTGACATCTTAAAATATACATAGAACTGGTAATATCCTATATTTACTTTAGGTATGTGCATGATTTCCTAGTGTTCCAGAATCTATTCTTGGAGATTAAAAAAGGAAGGAAAAAAAAGAAGAGGTGGGATGGGGATGGAGACTAATAAAATTTACTCGTTTTTCTTTGGAATAACTTTATAGATACTGTGAATTGTAGTATCACCAGCAAAGACTGGCCCTTCTCTTTTAATTATAGCTGGTATGAAAACAACTAAAATAATCTAATGGTAAATTTTATACCAGTTAAGTAGTATATAAACTTTAGTCCTCAGGTGTGTGGAACTTTGTAATATTTTAATGATCTTATTAACAAACCATGTAATAGTTGAAGACACCATATTTGAACATATTCCAAAACTATTTCTCTATGGCTTTAATTATATCATTTAGAATCTGGGAGACTAATATGTTGTGGTAAGAGATGATTTGTATCCCTATTCCCCAATATCCAATTTAATATTAAAAAATCATTCTCATGTATAATGCATACATAAAACTTATATTGTTGAAATTATAGTCTGCCTTCCCTTTTACCAGTATATTTATTTGGCATATAAAATCAATCAGGTCATTTTAATAGGTAATTATTTTTACATTGTGTCCACTACTGGAGTATGAGCTTCTCAAGGCCGAGGACCATGTTTCATTTATGTTTCCAGTTTATATATTTCCAATACCTAACAAAATGTAGCTTCTTTTTCTTAATATGTAAAAGAAATAGACTTTCTTTGAAAGCAGTTTGTATTTGAAACTTTGAATTGTAAATAACCCATGAGGATTAAGGAATATGAAAGAAATTTCTAGTCTTTTATATTTAGTTAAGCTTCATTTATTTTTAAGCTTCATTTATTTTAGTTCTAAAGTTAGTTAACTTTTTAGACTCTAGATCTCGTTAGAGCATTACAAGATCTAGAAAATGCAGCTTCAGGTGATGCAGCAGTTCATCAGAGAATAGCATCTTTGCCTGTTGAAGTCCAAGAAGTATCCCTACTAGATAAGATAACAGGTAAGAAAGAAAATAATCTAAATCTCTTTTGGGAGTTGGGGTGATGGAACAGCATATGGCATTGTTTCTGTTGTGTAATAATTTTATTACCCTTTGCTTTTCTTAGATAAAGAATCTGGAGAAAGGCTTTCTAAAATGGTAGAGGATGCTTGTATGTTGCTGGCAGATTATAATGGCAGATTGGCGGCAGAAATAGATGATAGGAAGCAACTCACTCGAATGTTAGCAGATTTTCTTCGTTGTCAAAAGGAAGCCCTTGCAGAGAAAGAGCATAAATTGGAAGTGCGTAACCTTTTCCTTCTTTAGTGCTTATTTTTAAATTTATTTTTTGGTAGGAATTTTAATATTCCAAACTATTTATAGCTAAGAATAATATAGGTTGGTAGGAAATTTACTATCTTAATGTTCCTGCACATTTTGCATTTTTTTTATCATAGACCTTTTAGACAGTGGTCCAGGTAAGCTATTTCTTGCATTAATGAGTTTCTTTCTACTTGAACTAAATCAACCTGCTTACATAAATTTAGAAATTTGGAATTAGCAGAATTGGTTGCATTTTAAAATTATTCATGTGAAATTCCAGTAACAATAATTCACCATAAGACTTTAAACCTTTATCTTCAAGAAAAAAATTAGTGGGAAAATAGCAGTTGGTATAAAGTCTGGTGTCAACTACAGAAAATGATGGTTGGATTTATTTAATTCCTGTTGTGAGTATAGTCATTTAGATATACAGTTAAAAAATAAAAGACATTTTTGGGCATAGAGTTTATTGTGTGTATACTATCCCCAGTCTGCTTGCCCGTGAACACTTAAATCAGTTTTGCTCAGGAAGTTAGTCTTCGTGTTACTTGTTTGTTCCATCTGTGTTCTGCTATTTAACATGTTCGTACCCTACTCCCGCTGATCCACATTATTAGTAGAAAGTCATTGCTCTTAATGAGTGCTGACTCATTAACTGAAAAATTTGGAGATGCAGGAGTAAGAAAAAGAAATACTGTCATATTTTCTTTGAGTTAGAGTAGCCATTGTTAGGGGTGAATGAGCCAGATTTGCTTTTATTTAAAAGAATCCTTCATTATAGTAGTTCATGTTTAAATTGTTTACTGCTGTAGCAATTTCTTTTTCTAATACTGTGTAGGAGAGTTTTTAATTTGTCTGGATCCCTTTATTTAGAGATAGTTCTCTCTAAATTTGTAGGTATGTTATGATTCTGCCTCTATTAAGTTGCTTTTATTTATTACTGGTTCTTGTTTCAGCAATCTTTAATTGTGCCAAAGATTGCTGTTTCTCTTGTGAGAGCAGCTACTTGATTAAGTGTCAGCATCAGAGTTTTCCCACCCCACATTCTCAGCTCTTAATTTAGCCTTACCCCTTTTTCAGTTTACTCCTCCTGCTCATGTGTACACTCCCAAAGCAGTTGTTGGCACCATGCTCTGTACCTTTAGAGAGGTTGTGCAATTCTACATACAAAAAATTTTTTTAAATTTGATAGTTAACTTACCAGTTTTTGATTTTGTGATGGAACTTCAATCTTAAGTATATTGTTACTTGTTTTATTGTTACCAGAATTAAGGGTAAGTAATGTCACACAGATGTTGTCTTCAGTCTTTTGGTATGGTTTCTTTAACTTCTATTGAGCTTCTGTTGCAGGTATTGGACATGGGCGTATCTTCTAACGGTGCCATCATCATTAGCATATTCTTCCTGCTAAAAATAAATATCAAACTCCAAAGCCTGTATTGTCTCATGTTTTTGAAGAGAAAAGAATGAAACTTTATTCTGCTTTATACTACTTTCTCAATTAAGTTGGTTATTTATCACTCGTTACAAAAATAGAACTTCTACTTGAAATGTAAGTGCAGATGTAAAAAATAGATACCATTTCCCAGCCCCCTCTTTTCCAGTGCCTTCCAGCCAGATTTAATAGTTGATAGTTACAGGTAGTGAGGCTGATGCCAGTAATATCAGTAACATTTACCATATGTCGGGTACTGTAAGTACTGCACATATATCAACTCATTTAATCCTATACAGCAGGAAGTAGTAGTATCACCATTTTACAGATAAGGAACCTGAGACACACAGGGAGATTAACTTGCCCAAGGTCACAAAGAGATAATGAATTATTTAGAACGCAGGGAGTCTGCCTCTGAAGAAGACATATTTGCTTCCAGTTTTTACTTAAATGTAAAATTATAGCAAAAACTAAAACCCTGTCTCTCCAACTTTTTTTGCTTCCTCCTTTCTCAGAGGTAATCACTGTCTTGAAATAGTGTTCTAGGAGCTTTTTTTGTTGTTTTTTCAGCATTACTACATTATGTCATATTGTAAAGAAACCACCTAAATTACATTAAATGCTTTTTTACAAGTAAAGAAACACTTAGATTTCTAATAAACTAGGAAGTTATTCCACAGAATTCTATAAATCATCTGTAACTGATTCCTTAGTCAGAAGATATGGAAATGACTTGCAATATTTAGACAGTTTTTGTACCAGGTAGGTGGCATCACTTTGAAGTTGAGATTGAGTATTCATACTTACCATGTCAGCTGTAATATCAGATAGTTTTCAGTTTTCATGAATCTTTGAGCGTCAGCTTTGATTGAACATATATTGATGTGTCATTGTTTTTTTAAAATTAACCTTTGTAGTCTTACATTAGCATACTCAGATTTACCTCGTCTAAAAATATGAGGGCATGGTATTGTGTGAATGTTTTTGTTTAGTTTAAGTCTGTTCTCATGATGTCAGATTGCATCTACTGAGTTGCTTTTACTAGTTCTGTGCATTACAGGTATTACTACAGAAAACATCCTGGTGATGCAGGTTGTATAGTTGTGCAAGTATATTTGCAGAATTGATTCCCAGAAGTAGAATAGAATATCTAATTCCAAGGGAATGTGTTCAGATGTTGGTAGTGTACTCAAGCTCTCCAAAAGGTTCTACCTTTTTAAACACCTTGAACAAGCTCTGAGTGCATCTTTTTCTACACAACCTTGTCTACAAGGCAAGGCAAGGTCTCTGAATGTCAGAGATCTTTTATATTTTTGCATATCTGGTAGGTTGAAAATTAATTTTTTGCTCAAATCGGTTACATTTTAAAAGTATTAGCCATTTTGTTGGTTTTGAAAATTCCCTATGTCCTTTAACTACTTTTCTATTTGGTTCTAAGATTGTGTATTAATGTTTATCTTTGTATAGATAGTGGTCTTTCTGGATATAGTAAAGATGGCCTCAATTCATAACTATGAAATACTATAAATACTATGCTGTTTTTATTTTTTTTTCCTGATAATTTTAGCCATTAGGGTTTTTTGTTCAAGGTATGTATGTGGTAGGGATATAACTAATTGCTTTAAAGTAATAGTACATGTTTGCATGTCATGTATTGATTGATGATGAATCAGTAGTCTGTTTTTTAACTACATTGTGAAATGCCATTTTTCTTATGCTTAATTTTTATATATACATTTGCATACTTGGAAATGTATTCCCTTTTTTTACTGGCCTATTTGTCTTCCTTATATAGTAGTTTGTATTTTTGGTATTGCTCATGTCTATAATTGTATTGTACATTATGATTGTGTATATGAATATTCCTTCTCGCAACTTTTTTATATATATTTGCCTGCATACTTAGTATTTTAAATGACATTTTGCTAAGTAGACATTTCTTAATTTACTTGGCCTTGTCCCTGTTTTTGAATATACTGTTTGCTTTTATATTTGTCCTTCTGTCTGCGAGACAGTATTTCCCAGGTTTTTCAAGAGTGCTTACTTATATAAAACTTTTCATTTTCCAAGAATTTCAATTTCCATTTTTTTAAATTGCTTAAGATAAGTTTTTGTTTTGCTTGGGACATTTAATGATTAGAAATTACTAATGACATGCTCTCAATGTAGGAAGTAAGAATGTTTTAAATATATAGCACTGAAAATGAAAATTTAAAAATCGTGCTTAAGGTGTTACCTGTGTGTAGCTTTTTGATGGTTATTGATATATCAAATTACAAATAATATTCAAAGGAATAGTGCTAAGAATATGGATAACTGATTATGGAATCTTCTGGTTCAGTTATTTCTTTACATTTTATTCTGTTTTTAGCTTGAAATCATACTGATTTTAAATTTAGAAGTAATTTGGTAAGATGGAGGGAGATATGTGAATTCTTCAAAGCAAATATTGAGTTATTTTTTGAGATCTAAATATTAAGTCTAAAAATTTTATGGTTAATTCATCAGTTTTTCAAGGATCAGTAATCTTTTAACCATTTTTAACCTATTTTAACTGATCTTTTTATTGATTATGCAAATAGTTTTTCATTGTAGGAAAAAAGCTACAGAAGCAAAAGGCTTAGCCCTAGTATTGGCTCCAAGCATTATTTTGCATACTGCCCTTTTCGTGTAAATATTGTGTGCATCTTACCATGTCACTCTTTTCCTTTTTAATGTATGGATGTATCATAATTTAACTGCTATGTAGTCTTTAGCACATAGTGTTTTAGTTGTTTTGATATTGTAAACAGTATTTGTTTTATGTTTTGATACTGTAAACATCTCTTTAGTTAACTCTTTACTCACATATGTCATTATCTCTTGAAGTAAATTCCTAAATGTGAGATTGCTGATTTATTTTAAAGACTTGATACATTTTACCAATCTGACTTTGAATAAGATTATACTAGATCGTTGTCTTTGATGATTTCTAAATAACGGTATCTGTAGGTCATCTCCTGGGCCATTCATTTTCTCCACAAAAAATGTGTCAGATGTGCTGGATAGATACAACAGGGCATTTGTTTTCAGAACAGTGCCATACCTCTTAGCTATGTGATTTGGATTTTCAAATGCAGATCTTTGGCTTGGTTTCTAATCACCCATCTCTGTGGAATAAGAGTTTCAACAGATTTATGTGAACATTTTTAGTTGATCCTTACTGTCAACCTTAAGACTCAACCATTACATTTCAAGGATCTTGTTAAAGTTCCTCAAGATGAATTACATTACTTTTGGTCATTATCCCTTGTTTCTATTTTTTCTATTTTCCAAAAGTTAATTAACACCTGTGAACTGTGGTTCCCTCATCTCTATCCTTGTGGGTTTCTGCCTTTATAAATTGCTTTATTGTTTTAGTGGCTTTTCAGGAGGGAGCAGAGATAAATATGAGTTAGTTTGTTACATAAATGGAAGACCTTTTGTGTCTTATTAAATGTATTCATAATTCCTTCCAAAGCAACCCTTGTCTGAGTGGTTGTTACACATTGTCTGCATTGCTAACAACTAATCTTTCTGTTCCCTCTCTTAAATCTCTATATCACTACAGCTAGATGATGTTTAAGAGGAAATCAGTTCTCATCATTCCCTGTTTAGAACTCTTCAGTGCTTCCCATTACACTTTTGGATCTTATTTTAAAGCTCCATATATGGCCTATGATGACATCACTAGTCACAATTCTCCATTTAACCTCATCCTGTACCATCTCGCAGGCATCTGTTTTTCTCATAAGGAAGTTAAGCATGTTGTCACATCAGAGTTTTTGCTTTGCAGCCCCTGACAGAGTGGCTGGAGTGCTGTCTCTTTATCTTTACTTACCAGGTTCCTAATTTTCATTCAGGTTTGTGATACCTTGTCATCTCTTCAGAGTCTTCTCTATCCCTTTTATTTTGTTCCATCTACCCTTTTTCCTCCCAGTGTATTACGTTGTCATTTTGTTTTCATTTTTCCTTCATGGTACCCACCACTATTAGAAACTTTAAAACTTTGTATACTTGTCATCTGTATTCTCATTAGAATGTGAGCTCCATCAGAGGAATTTTGTTTTGCTTTGTTTTTCATGTGTAACTCCATGTCGTAAAATGGAGAGTGCCTTTCTCTTTGTAGGCACTCGGGTGTTTTTGTAAATGATAGTAGGCCATCAAATGAATAAATGAATGCAAGTACAAATGTAATTTACAATAAGTATGTAATATTTATATTTTAAATTGGTAGTTTATTTTGTAATTAAATCAGAAAAGACTGATGCTTTAATTAATATATAAAAGTGATTTAAGGTATTTGAGGTGTTTGAAGAAAATCGTATCCAGCATAAGAGGTTAACTAATTTTTAACCATATTAGTATAATCATCACATTAATCATATTAGTATAGTCCAGTACTTTTTAAAAAGTGGGCTTGTATGTTCAAGGACCACATTTCCAACTGCAGTTGAGCATTTTGAACAAAAGAATGAATGGCCATTTTGAAAATGTAAAATTCCTGTACCAGTTTGCTCTTTAGTTCAGAAAAATAACATATTAATGATATGTGGGACAGTATGAATGGCAAATGAACAGGACTCAGCAGAGCAAAAGCGCTGAATTTGTGAGAGTCACAGTGCTACCTGGTGGGAGAATTGAACCTACAAGTGAAATCAGTCTTTAAGCCAGTGTTCATTCTTTTACATACAAAGAGGAATTGAAGCTGTAATTGCTCTCTGTTCACTCATTCATGGAATAAAATTGTTACTGGTAATACCCTTCAAGAGCAGCACTGTAATTAAAGAATTTATGCATGTAGAGCAATTAGCACCCTGCCTGAGGCAAAGTGTGTGCTCAATAACTGGTAACAGTTGTTTGTTTCTGTAGCTGAGTGTTACTAGGAATGAGAGGAGCTTGAAACCTAGTTGAAACTAAGCTGTGGAGGGCATTATAGGGCATTATAGACTGAGCAGATGCCTGCAGCGTCCAAAGGAGAGAGTGGTGGCATTGGCAGTGTTTGAGAACCTCCTTGTAGTTGCTGAGTATATGGAATGACCAGAGATTTATTTGCAACAGGGAGACCAGAAAGGACTTAATTAAAAAATTTTATATTGTGGGTAATGAAGGCCTGAACCATAGTTGATGATAGCAATGAGAAAATGGAGAAATGGGCAGGTATGGGGAACAATTGAATCACTGTATTTATTAATTGGGTCTGAGGGTAGAGGAGTGGGAGGAATCAGTTATAAATAAGATTTTGAAAACTATGGGGCAAATGATTTTGACATTAACTAAAAGGGTATTAAACTTGGGAAATGGGGGAAGTGATGATTTTGTTTTTAGGTCTTTTTTATTTTAATTGTAAAAGTACATACTCCTTAAAGTTCAGAAACTGTTACTAAGTATACAGATAACACCTAAAATCTCATCACCCCTTAAATAACCTTTGACAAGACTTGGAAGATGGAATCATACAGTATATGGTATTCTATACATTGCCTTTTTTTACACATTCACTGTGGTAATATATATTCACATAATTGCCATGATTATATACTCATTTTAATAGGTCATATTCTGTTTTAAAGAAGTGTTTCTTTACCCAGCTGCCTATTGTTCAGTATTTACATTTTTTCCTGTTTCTTGCAATTGAAAATAATTGTTTTGAATCACCAAAGCTAAGTCTTTACTTACCTATGATAATTTTCTCATACATTCCTAGAAGTAGGGGGAAAATTTTTTTTAAATATTAAGGCAGTATGATTTTCATGCTCAAGACAGCTATCATTTAAGAGGACAGAATGAGATGTCCAGGGGATGTGAAAGTGGAGATTCTTAGTATTACTGATACAAATTCATATGGCCCAATCTGTGAAGGACAATTGGCAGCAAGTATCAGAAGCCCTTATTTTACATAATGATGTTTTCGCTCTTAGCCTTTACCAGGTGATTTAACTTGCATAATGTTGTAAAAGTAACTAGGTAGTAGGATAGGTTCTGGGAGCAGTTAGAGCGATGGTTTAGCTTTTTCTTTTACATTTAAAAAATTGTAAAATACATACAAAATTGATTGTTCTTCAGTGTACGGTTCAGTAGTATTAAGTACATTCACGTTGTTATTCAGCCTATCTCCAGAACTCTTCATTTTGCAAAACTGAAATTGTCTACCCATTCAACAACTCCCCGATCCCCTGTTGTCCCCAGCCCCAACCACCACCATTCTTTCTGTCTCTATGAATTTGATTACTCTGGGTACCTAATATAAGTGGAATCATTTGTCTTTTTGTGACTGGCTTTTTTCACTTAGTATAATGTCCTCTAAGTTCGTCCATGTGGTGTAATACGTGCCAGAATTTCCTTTTTAAGGCTGAATATAGTATTCATGGTTGGTATATACCAAATTTTATTTTCCCTTTCATCTATATTGATGGCTACTTGGATTGCTTCCACCTTTTGGCTATTGTGAATAATGCTGCTATGAACATGGGTTTATAGCAAATATCTCTTGAGTTCTTGCTTTAAAATCTTTGGGGTATATACCTGCAGGTGAGATTGTTGGATCATACGGCAATTCTGTTTTCAATTTTTTTGAGAAATTGCCACACCATAGCATACTACCATAGCAGCTGCACCATTTAAAATTTCCTACCAACAATACACAGGGCTCTAATTTTTCCATATCCTTGCTAACAACTTATTTCTGTTTTTGCTGATAGTAGCCATACTATCATACCTAATGTGATAATACGCATATGATCTATCTGTTACTGTGTATAGAAGTATGAGGCAGTATCTTACAGTTTTGATTTGCATTTCCTTAATTAGTGATAGCATCTTTTCATTTGTTACTATTTGCATATCTTCTTTGGATAAATGTCTATTCAAGTCATTTGTCCATTTTTAAAATCAGGTGGTTTGGTTTTTGTTATTTAACATGATGGTGCAGTCTTAAGTTAATTGTATTTGTTACTAGAAAGAGTTTGGAGACAATCTGATCCACCCAGTGCTGGAAATTATTCTGGAATATTTACTAAAAAGAAGCCTCTGCTTAAATTGTTTCTGATGCGAGGGGAGCACAGTGTTTTGAGAGTGGTCTTTTCCTTTTTCTGAACAATTGCTAGACATTTATTATAAACTTTTACTGAAGAAATATCAAGAAATTATTTCTTCAAATACATCCATATATATATATATAAACACTCAACACACACTCATGCATTGGAGAAAATGTGGAAAACACCAAAAATCTGGAATGGAAGTTAAA